CAAATTAAAATGAAATAAAAAGAAAGCAAGTTTATAAAAACGTGGTAAAAATTAGTACAACGAAGTTCTGGGGTTCAACGATTCGTAAGAGGATGAGAGTTTAGTGAACTGACCAGGAGTAGTAAATGTTTAAGAGAGTTTAAGTGTAGTCTTTACAATATATTTTGACATAAAATATATTTAAGAAATTTGTCTGCAGATTTACTAAAAACTTCCGACTGTCTAAAGAGGCGTTTGTGAGCCAAATCTATTTAAAATATTTTAAAACTATCCACAGCTCTATGATTTGTTCTCAGAGATCGTGCCAACTGAGTATTGGGATTTTCCTTCACAAGTAAAGCAGCCTTTCGAGCTTGTGTTTTGTATTCACGACGTTAAAACTGCATGAAATTGATAAAAAAAATTGTTTAAAATTAGTGTCTACCCGCCAAGAAGTAAGAAAACAAATGCAAAATCATACATTTTTCACAATTTTCTAACACTTCGCTACCACATCGAAAGCAAAATTCTGTTCGACAGAAAATTCGATACTCAACGAAAATTTCGACACGATTGCATAGCTCATAATACGAATTTCACTTTCGATCTTCGACAACCAGCGAAGATCGAAAATCGAATGCAACTCATAATAAGGGCCTCCACCTCTGTCAAGTGCAACGCTTGCGAGGGGGGAGTCACCTCAGAGTCTGCTCCGGACTACGGACACATCGGCAGTGGACCACGTCTTTTGTGGCCCCCTGCTGCTCTAACAGAGCAGCCTCCACGGCTAACCCCAGTCCACCTGAGCAGCCCCACACAAACACCAAAGCACAACAGCACAACACAATAGACTACACCACAACGGCTACAGACCACAGAACACACACAATTGCACCACCACCCACACGCCGCCGCCAACAACTCCTGGTTCCCCCTACAATCTGCACGGTATGTCAGACCAGGATATTCCGTAATGTGACATCAGTCAAGTGCAACACCTGCCTTGGCTGGTGCCACTTTAGGGCATGCTCAGGTCTGCGTACCACGCGAGATTGGACGGGGAACTTCGAGGGCCCGTGTTGCGCTGCTCGGTCGCAGACTTCAATTGCGACGCCCCCCACCACCACCACAGGGCGGCAATCACCTCAGCAGCACACACAGCCAACGGCGGCAAGAACATACACCTCACTTACACCCCACATCACGACACGTCTCCCGAACCACATGAAGCTCCTTCAATTTAACTGCAACGGGCTACAGAGCAAGATTGAGGAGATAACCGTCTTTATGTGTCGGCATGGTATATTGATAGCTGCGGTCCAAGAGACGAAGTTGCACAGCAATTCAACTTTGTTGAATTGCGCCGGGTACAACGTGCACCGTCGAGATCGCGAGCGAGATAATGGTGGTGGCTTAGCGTTCATCACGCACCACACCGTACAGTATCGTCTTATCGAAGCAGACATCGACGGCAGGGATACCACCCTAGAATGTCAGGGCATTGCTATCCGGTCAGGCGATGTTGACCTCGAAATATTTAACGTTTATATACCCCCTGTCACCTGCTGCCCGGCAGGATATCACCCTGACATAGGTGCGCTCCTCAGAGCTGAAAACCGTATGGTAGTAGGCGACTTTAATGCGCACTTTAATCTTTGGCACTCAAGCCTGTCAAACGA